CCTGCCACCCAGCTCCTCTGAAAGCATTCAGACCCTTCACTAGAATGTCTCAAAAATCAATAGCAATTTATTCTCTCTTTGGACTCCAAGCAACAAAAGTAAATAATACTGTCACCTCCAGTCTGCCTGCAGAACATGGTCACAAAACAGCCTTGCCACTAAAATATACAACCTTACGCAGCTCTTTATCTATGCTGGTGCTACTGATTGTATTGGCTTTCATAGGGGACAAATACTTCAGCAAAGCCACAAAAAGAGGTCAAGCTCTTGAACCTTAGCCAGAAAGAATGCTGGGGCCTGAATTAAAAAGAAGACTTGACATCACTAAGCTCCCTGCTTTATGGGGGAAAAACAAGAATATTTATTTTTCAAGACTACTAAAATGAAGGGAAAAATATAAGATTAAATACAACATGTTTACAATTTTTCCTATAGAGTTTTAAGAAAATAACCAGATCACTGAAGCAATTGGTTGAACCATATTATTTTGCAGCTAAAATCTACAGGTAGGCAATTTTTATACTATCTGATAAAAGTATTAATCTATAAGTTCTATTTTGATAACATTTAACCAAGTAGGTGATATCAACACTATCTGATTGTTGAAGACACTGGAATATATAAAATGTTGAAGACACCTGAATATATAAAACGGCATTCTGACGCAACAGATGGAATGTCGGGAATGACCAAATATAATCTTATCTTTTTACAGGGAAAAGGAAATTGGACCCTACATGTGACACCAGAAAACTAGTTAATGGAAGAAGCAGGACTAAAATACAGTGTGACATTCTTTTTGCTATACTGCTTATTGATGAAAAACTACTTACAGGCATACCAAAGAAGAGTCAAAGTCTCTTTTGATGAGAATAAGCCATCATCCCTCTGGGGGAAAAGCAAGAGAAAAAGCAAGCACTTGGAAACATTTGTGCAGTAATTAAAAATTTTCAAATCATACAAGAATTTATCAGTAAATCACACTAGAAGTATTTATTGAATATCTGCTGTGTACTTCTCACTAGTAGGGAATAAGAAATATATACATACATGTTTAAGAAATACTAAAATATTAAAGATAATCAGATGTCAAATTGCATGGTCAAAGAACAAATGGAAATCAGGCAGGTGCTGAGAGAAGGAGAGAGGGGAGGCAGGTTGGATGAGGGAGGGAGAGGAAGACAATTCATAGAGGCAGATGCCAGGGATGCTGATGGTGAGTACTGGGAGGTGCTGCTGGGAGGATGGACCTGGCAGAGCAGTGGTGCCTGTGAAGTAAAGTGAAGACACAAAGTGGGGCCAAAGGCTGGAACTCCCAAAAGCAGGCAGAGGGACTTGAACTTAATGTGGTAGAGACCCCAAATAATATAGAATTAAGCATTTTATCTTGGCAATATCACTCCTCTTGTTATTTGGCTCACTCCTAGCTCAAAAAAAGCAAACAATACTTTAAAGATGTAGTCTTACTAGTCAGAAAAATATCAATTAAAATATAAAAAATATAAAAAAATTGTAAGCAAAATAGTGTTTCTTTGAAATTTCATTTAAATAACAAAAAATATACAAAATTTTATAAATGAAAAAATTAATTCAAAACTTAATCGTTTTCTGATCATTAAGCTAAGGGAGAAAACAAATCTCTGAATCCCTCTTTTTTTTTTCTGTGACATTAACCACTTTGGCAAAAAAAAAAAAAAATGAACAGTAGGATTGGGAATTTTGAAAAATCATGTTTAACTTTTGTACTTTAAAGAAGATATAATCAAGTTGATATACTCTATCTTCTCTAAAACTGAGGCATCTAAGGTTAATCATTAAAATAGATTAAACATTATGTTTAAAAACAAATATCCATTTAAGCTTTTTCAAATTTTGTTAATTCTGTAGTAAACCAACATTCTTTTCTCTTTATGAATTCACTAGAGAAAGTTTTGGGGGAGAAGTGTGTATATACACATGCATGTGTATAGATACATACACCTGTAAGAATATATCTTACAGAAACAATTGTGGATGTGGACAGCAGTATAGCAACATAAATGTTCAATAAAATATTGCTGGAAAGAGTGAAAAGGGGAAACAATTTTAATACCCAAGAGCAAAGCATTCAATATGTAAGTAATAAACACATTCATACTTTGTCATCATTTTTATACATATGAAATATAGTTACGGCCCATCCATTTACTTCTCCTATTTTCCTAATTTTGAAGAGCTCCCAGAATATTTGCAAATTAATCTGTAAACACAGAATGATAGTGCCTGTCCTGAAGTTCACATAAAGTGCTTACAGTCAGAAACATTGTGTGCCTGGTGCCATCATATCTCAGTGCCCAGAACAGCACCTGGCACAGAGGAATATGGTCAACAAGTTCTTAATGGACTGAAAGGAAAAAGTTAACTAAAAATTTGTAACTTACACCCACTTACTTTTTAAAAAATTGGAAGCAGTTTACAACAAAACTTGATAAAACATAGGTTTTTTTAATTTTTTTTATTTTTTTATTTTTTATTTCAAGGGTCTGGCTTGCAATGGCAGGATTTTGGCTCACTGCAACCTGCACTTCCTGGAGTCAAGCCATGCTCCCACCTCAGCCTTCCAAGTAGCTGGAACTACAGGCACCTTCCACCATGCCTGGCTAATTTTTATATTTTTTGTAGTGACAGGGTTTTACCATGTTGCCCAGGCTGATCTCCAGCTCCTGAGTTCAAGCAATCCATCTGCCTCGGCCTCCCAAAGTACTGGGATTACAGGCATGAGCCAATAGGCCCAGCCTAGATTTTTTAAAAATGTAAATCAAAGTAAGCGAAAAAACCCAAAACATCCAAACTATACAGCGGAAGATGGAAAATAACAGAATCAGGAAGCTAACTAAGCTCATGCCAATACTGAATCATATGCTTGAACTTCCTGTCAAGCAAGGCTGCAGCAGAACTGCAAGTGCAGCAGAGACGGCAGTGTTTAAAACAGAACACCTGCGGTCCAGCCAGCAGGCCTCCACGCCTGTGCACCCGTTGTCAGCACTGTAGGACTCTGGAGAAATCAATGCCTTCTTCTGGGCCTCCTTTTCCTCCCATGCAGAATGAAGCTCTTATGAGAGCATCACCACAGGGTTCTGAGATTGACACCAGCTAAGCCATGGGCAGTGCTAGTTGCATGGTGCTGGAACACACGAAGAGCTCAGTGTATGCCAAATCTGTCATATCCATCATTATAGCTTTGACTGCATGCAAAAGATACCATTTAGTTCCCCCAGGCTGTACTTATTTCATAGGTTCAGTATTTATTTTAAAACTTGGTTAGATGAAGCCCCACCAATGTCTTCAAAAGCCTAACATGAAAATGGAAGAAACAGAAGTACTAATATAAAACAGTGACTCAGGTATCATGGATAGAATAGAGGTATACACAGTGTTCCCTGGGGGAAATGATAGATGACTGAGGGTAGGGATGTGGGGCCATATCACATTAAAAGTGATGTAGGAACTGGGACATGAAAGAGGAGTCAGAGGGCACCAAAGTAGGGAACATGGTATTGGAAAGTCATTCCATGCAGATTGGACAATATAACTAAGGAAACTGAGTCATGGGAGGACATGAGAAGCTGATAGTGGTTGAACACTGTGTGACAGGATGCTAGTGGAACTGTGACAGAAAACAAAATGACAACATCAGGTTGGGGTCAATTTTTGAAGACTCTATTGTGCAATTTGGACTTTAAAAAGTTAAGCAAAGGAGAGTCAGTTTGGGCTGATAATGACATCAGTGTTTTAGATACTAGGATTATCATGGAAGACAGATTGGATTTAGAGAGTGGGAAGAAAGAACAGAGGCTAAAACATCAATACTCCAGGCAACAACTAATGCTAGGTAATAAATAATACAGACTGGAAACAAGACAAGACAGTGGAGCTGGAAGGAAGGAAACTGATGCCAGCAATATTGCTGAGGCAGAGTCAGAAGGATTAATATGAAAGCCAAAAATGATTTCATGGTTTTGACTTTATATGGCTAGGACAGTGATAAAATTAATTAAGGAAGGTAACACAGAGGAAGCCCAATTTGGGGTGGCAGAGAAAGACGACTTTATTTTTAAATAGACTGAATTTGAAGTAGCTCTGGAACAAATGGATGTCATTATATTCAACTGAAAGACAGAACCTAAGACACGGAAGCTCAGAACGTGGATTGAAAACACATTTGCATAATAGATGACAGTCAAATTTACAGCGCCAGTTGAAATTTCCAGGGAACAACATTTGAAGTCAGAAGGAAACCAAAGTAATGACACTTCTATCACTAAAAAGGATGATACCTAAAATAACTACTATGCAGGACTTAACTGAAAAGAACTACAAGCTACATTAAAAGATAGAGAGAAACACTTTAATATATTTAGAGAGATATTATGTGTCTGGATGGGAAGAATAATTTGTGTAGTCATTAATTCTCTAATCTGTAGATTTAATATAATTCTAATAAAAACTGTAATATACTTTTGGGAAACTTAATGAAATTATTCTAATGTCATCTGGAAAAATATCTGAGAATAACTGTTTTTAAATGAGTAATAATGAGAGGTAAAACTGACCTAAAAGATATTAAAACATACTGTAAAAATTCAATAATGTAACACTGACTTATATACAGAAAGATTACTAGGTTAGAAAGTCCAGAAATAGAAAGAAGTATGTATAATTATTCAAAGCATAAAAACCTGCAATTTCAAAATGGCAAGAAAAAAGATAACCTTTTAAAGAAGCAAAATAATGAGAAAGGTTTTTCTTCTGAGTTGTGTTGAGGATGATGGAGGTTGTCTGAGCTTTTCATAGTTAGAGAGTAAGATCTTAGTAACAGAAATTTTAAGAGAGTGTACAGTTATTATAAAGTTATAGAAGTAAGGGAGCTGTGGATTCTAGTGAAGTTTACTACTGGAGGGAGGAATAGATGAAACCACCAACCACAATGAAATAATGCCTTCAGAAAGAAAAGTGCCTACTTGATCGTGATGGATAAGCTTTTTGATGTGCTGTTGCAATCGGTTTGCCACTATTTTATTGAAGATTTTTGCATCGATGTGCGTCATGGATATTGGCCTGAAGTTTTCTCTTTTTTTGTTGAGTCTCTGCCGGGTTTTCATATCAGGATGATGTAGGCTTCATCCCGGGGATGCAAGGCTGGTTCAACATACACGAGTCTATAAACATAATCTACCACACAAACAGAACCAAAGACAAAAACCACATGATTATATCAACTGATGCAGAAAATGCCTTCCACAAAATTCAACAGCCCTTTATGCTTAAAACTCAATAAACTAGGTATCGAAGGAACATATTTCAAAATAATAAAAGCTATTTACAACAAACCTACAGCCAATATCATACTAAATGGGCAAAAACTGGAAACGTTCCCTTTGAAATCCGGCACTAGACAAGGATGCACTCTCTCACCACTCCTATTCAATACAGTATAGGAAGTTCTAGCCAGAGCATTTAGGCAAGGGAAAAAAGGGGTATTCAATTAGGAAAGAGAAAGTCAAATTGTCTCTATTTGCAGACTACATGATTGTCCATTGAGAAGACCCTATTACCTCAGCCCAAAATCTCCTTAAACTAATAAGCAATTTCAGCAAACTCTCAGGATACAAAATCAATGTGCAGAAATCACAGGCATTTCTATACACCAATAACAGACTACCAGAGAGCCAAATGATGAGCAAACTCCCATTCACAATTGCTACAAAGAGAATAAAATACCTAGGAATACAACTAACAAAGGATGTAAAGGACCTCTTCAAGGAGAACTACAAACCGCTGCTGCTCAACGAAATAAGAGAGGACACAAAGGATGGAAAAACATTCCATGGTTATGGTTAGGAACAATCAATATGGTGAAAATGGCCATACTGCCCAAAGTAATTTATAGATTCAACACTATCCTCACTAAGCTACCAATGACCTTCTTCAGACAACTGGAAAAACCCAACTTAAACTTCATAAGGAACCAAAAGAGAGCCCACATAGCCAAGACAATCCTAAACAAAAAGAACAAAGCTGGAGGCATCATGCTACCTGATTTCAAACTATACTACAAGACTACAGTAATCAAAACAGCATGGTACTGGTACCAAAACAGACATATAGACCAATGGAACAGAACAGAGGCCTCGGAGGCAACACCACACATCTACAACCATCTGATCTTTGACAAACCTCATAAAAACATGCAATGGGGAAAATATTCCCTGTTTAATAAATGGTGTTGGGAAATCTGGATAGCACTGTGCAGAAAGCAGAAACTGGACCCCTTCCTGACACCTTACACTAAAATTAACTCCAGATGGATTAAAGACTTAAACACAAGACCTAACACCATAAAAACCCTAGAAGAAAACCTAGGCAAAACCATTCAGGACATAGGCATAGGCAAGGACTTCATGACTAAAACACCAAAAGTATTGGCAACAAAAGTCAAAATTGACAAATGGGACCTAAATAAACTACAGAACTTCTGTGCAGCAAAAGAAACAATCATTAGAGTGAACTGGCAACCAATAGAATGGGAAAAAATGTTTGCAATCTACCCATCTGACAAAGGACTAATATCCAGACTCTACAAAGAACTAAAACAGATTTATAAGAAAAAAACAAACCCATTCAAAAGTGGGTGAAGGATATGAACACTTTTCAAAAGAAGACATATATGAGGCCAACAAACATATGAAAAAATGCTCATCATCACTGATTATTAGAGAAATGCAAATCAAAACCATACTGAGATACCACCTCATGCCAGTTGGAATGGTGATCATTAAAAAATCTAGAGACAACAGATGCTGGAGAGGATCTGGACAAAGAGGAACACTTTCACACTGTTGGTGGGAGTGTAAACTAGTTCAACCATTGTGGAAGACAGTGTGGCAATTCCTCAAGGACCTAGAAATAGAAATTCCATTTGACCCTGCAATCCCATTACTGAATATATACCCAAAGGATTATAAATCACTGTATTATAAAGACACATGCACATGTATATTCATAGCAGCACCGTTTGCAATAACAAAGACCTGGAACCAACCCAAATGCCCACCGATGGTAGACTGCACAAGGAAAATGTGGCACATATACACCATAGAATACTGTGCAGCCATAAAAAATGATGAGTTTGTTTCCTTTACAGGGACATGGATCAATCTGGAAACTACCATTCTCAGCAAACTGACAAAAGAACAGAAAATCAAACACTGCATGTTCTTACTCATAGGCAGGGGTTGAACAATGAGAACACATGGACCCAGAAAGGGAAGCATCACACACTGGGGTCTGTTGGGGGGGTAAGGGAGGGACGGCAGTGGGGTAGGGAGGGGTCGGGGAGGGATAACACGGGGACAATTGCCAGATGTAGGTGACAGGCGGATGGAGACAGAAATCCACATTGCCATGCATGTACCTATGCAACAATCCTTCATGGTCTGCACATGTACCTCAGAACCTAAAGTACAATTAAAAAAAAATAAAGAAAATAAAAGTGCCAAAAAGGATTACTTGACTACAATGATAGAGACAGCTCTTAAGAGCAGATGTTTTGATGAGTTTCCATATCCAATTTACTAGAAATAAAAAAAAAAAAAGCAGCGGTGAAAAAAATAAAACTTTATTGTCAGAGATTGGGCTTGCTAAATTTAAGATTTCTGAGCTGTCAGTTCAGAGAAATGGCATAATAAATCAGACTGCAGCAGCAGAAATGTCTGGCCAGGATTTTGGCAGCTCAGTAACACAAATTGTGAAGTTTCCAAAAGAAGTGCCCAAGAATTAAGGCAGAGAGGGACAGGGTGTTGAAAGATAACGTCTTCCATGACGGTGGAGGCATGGCCTGTGGTAAACGGAGGAAGAGAAAGGAAGCTAAGAATTTTGGGCTTCAACTAAGGTAAAAAAAAAACAGATTGCGACACCGAGATATGTTTTTATCTTTCTCTCCACAGTGCCTAATACACAGCACACATATTGTAAAATATTACCTAAGAACGGCCAGGGTGGTGGCTCAGGCCTGCAATCTCAGCATTTCGGGAGGCCAAGGCAGGTGGATCACTTGAGGCCAGGAGCTGGTGACCAGCCTGGCCAACCTGGTGAAACCACGTCTCTACTAAAAATACAAAAATTAGCTGGGCATGGTGGTGGGCACCTGTAATCCCAACTACTCAGGAGACTGAGGCAGGAGAATCACTTGAACCTGGGAGGCAGAGATTGCAGTGAGCTGAGATGGCGCCACTGCACTTGAGAGACAGACAACGTTTCAGTTAAAAAAAAAAAAGAAAAGAAAAAAGATTACTCAAGATTTAGTAAACGCTGGAAAAAATTTTGAAGAACCTAAATACAACCCCAAAATCTGATCACAGAGATTACAGGGCATAGGAGATAAAGCAGAATGAGTAGCAGCCACATGAGGGCATCAAGGTAAGCAGTAACACCGAAAGAAAGCCTGGCTTAGCCAATGAGGCGAGGTGAAAAAGATTCCTAGAAAGGCAGAGGGGAAAGGACAGTTCAAGGACTGTAACAGCTGAGCTAGTGATGAAAGACTTCCCTTTGCATCTTTCAAATAAAGATATTTCATTATCTCCACAAAGGTTCACTTCCAGGTACTTGGCTATGCTGGCCTTCCTGCCTCTGTAATCCACTAGTCCTCACGTGAAAAGCACTGTGGAGAACAGTAACAATCGAAACACTGTTTGCACCTGAAACTACCATCAAAATCAACTTTTTAAAAATAGTTACCTTGTAGACTCTCAACATCTTTAATAGAGAAAAAAAGAAAAAATATTTTCCAACTATTGTTTATTTCTGAAATTCAGATTTTGTTCTCTCAATCATACTGGCTTGGAACTCTGTCAGAGGTGAATACGCTCAGACTCATATAACTGATTTACACTAGAAAGTGAGTCTGTCTACTGCTAGTATGTAATGCAATTGCCAAGCTAACCCTCGTCTGTATAAATACCTGCACCAACTCAGGATGTGACAGCTACTTTGCAAATTTTCTTTGAAAAAGCAGCTTACTTAGGGGCAAACAGACAAAAAGGACAATGTATTTTTTTTAAAAGCTCTATTGAGGTCTGACACACAATAAATTATATATACTTAATGAGTATAATTTCACATATTTGGACATACGTATGTACCCATGAAACCACTCCAACAATCAACATAATGAGTACATCATCCCCAGTAGATTCCTCTGCCCCTTTGTAATCTCTTCCTCCTGCCTCTCCCACATCCTCCCACCCTCCACTCACCCATATGAATTATAGATTAGTTTGCATTTTCTGGAATTTATACAAGTCAAGTCATACAGTTTATATTCTTTTGGCTGGCTTGTTTCCTTCCACAAAATGATCTTGGAAATCATTTCATGCTGTTGCATGTATCAATAATTCATTTTTATTAAATAGTATTCCATTGTACAGATGTATAGCAATTTTCAGTCTTTGCCTACTATAAGTAAGGCTGCTATAGATACGTGTGCATGAGTCTCTGCATAAACATATGCTTTCATTTATTTGGTGTAAATGTCTAAAAGTAGAATGGCTATGTCATAAGGCAGCCGTATATTTGCCTATATAAGAAACTACCACATTTTTTCCCAAAGTAGTTTCTCCACTTTCCACTTCCATCTGTCATGTATGAGATTTCCAGTTACTCTGCATCCTTACCAATACTTGGCATCTTTCAAATTTTAGAATTCTAATAGGTGTATAATGGCATTTCATTGTGGCTTCAACTTACATTTGCCCAGTGACTAACAATTTTGGGTATCTTTTCATGTGTTTGTCATCTGTATACTATCTTTGGGGGAAGTATCTGTTCAAATCTGTTGCCTATATTTTATTGAGTTCTTTTAGTATTTGTTGAGTTTTGAGAGTTCTTTAAATAGTCTAAATATATACCTTTTATCAGACATGTAATTTGCAAATGTGTTTCTCCCAGTTCTGACTTATCTTTTCATTCTCTTAATAATGAGGTTTTTTTTTGTTGGTTTGTTTTTTGAGATGGAGTTTCTCTCTGTCGCCCAGGCTGGAATGCAGTGGTGTGATCTCAAGCTCACTGCAACCTCTGCCTCCTGGGTTCAAGCAATTCTCCTACCTCAGCCTACTGAAAAGCTGGGATTACACATGCCTGCCACCACGCCTAGCTAAATTTTTGTATTTTTAGGA